CCCAATTGTCAGCCTCTGGGTAACTAACCTGAGTATTTAATAGTAAAAAGGTTGTTACTATGAGTTGACTGAAGTTTTTGAGCGTGGTGAGTGTTAGGTAGTGGGTGATTAATACCAGTCCTGTAAAGAGGAGGTTTCACTCTATCAGTATGGTCTTTACTGAGAGGCTTGCTATCAACAGCGCATCCGGATCAATACAAGGTATTAATAGGCATCCAGGGTACTAAGACTCACCTGGGATTGATTTGGTTATTCCCCAAAGGGAATGGGCTAACAATACTTATTAAGCTTTAACAAAATTAGTTGAAGATTAACAGGTATTGTTGATGGGAATATTCAGCAAGGCTATGAATACTGTGGATAAGTTGAGTAAGAGTACTGAAGCTTAAGAACAATAAATGTAGACAAGATTTATGTTGGTTACGGGTACTGTATCAATATAAATGTTAACTGGTTTAACTGGTGTCTGAATATTCTGGGGATTAATCAGTGGAAGTGGCACTGATTATAAGTTCCAGAATACTGAAGGGGGGAAAGAATGAGCGCTCAGAATCAAGGGAGCTTTGGCCAGGAGAATGAGCACATCAATTGAGTGACTGATCATTATTTGTCATGATCTGTAAGTGACATCATAATTGTGTACTAGTTGATCAATGTACTAGTTGCTCTTGATGTGTACTTAACAGATCCTCTAATAATGTAGTCATAATTGTGATCTGTGCATGTATTGAATGTATTAATTCTATTGACACTTAATACTTACTATTTAATACATGTACATATTTATTTGTAATAATATTTGACCGTGAAAATACTGTAGCAGAGGGATAACTTGTGGTACAGGTATTTCACGGACAAGGGAGTGAAAGGTAAGTGATAATTACTTATGTAGAACACAGGTATGTATTTAAATAGATAAGTAATTAACAGATAAGATAAATGTAAGATAAATAGGATAAGATAAGTTAATGATAGTAATAAGATAACAAGAGGTAAAGGTAATCAACATTATGGATAAGTACTTATGTACATAAGTACAGGTGTTGCAGTTACTTGGTACATGAAAGGTACTGTGACATGTACTCTGTGGCTGACACTACCTGTCTATCGTTGGTTCTTTATCGTATTTGGCTGTCGCGACGCGACCCGATATTTCTTTTGCTGTCAACTTCCTGGCACGTTTTTCTTCTAAACCATCAAAGGATCATTGGAAGTTCTTAATGCACTTGATTGCTTATCTGGGCTCTACACGCGATCAAGCGCTGTATTTGAAACCGAGTTCAGACAGTGGTGCACTGTCATGCTATGTGGACGCGAATTGGGGGGGTGAATTTTCCAGGTCAACACATGGTCTAATCATTTTTTGCTTTGGTTGTCCGATCGCATGGGTTTCAAAACGACTGGTTACGGTAGCTAGCTCAACAGCTCATGCGGAGTACATGGCTATGGGTTTAGGGGTGCGGGAGGCGTTATGGATCAGGAATCTTCTGTTGGATCTAACTGGTTCTACGTTTATAGCGGATGTGTTTTGTGACAATCAGGCTGCGATCAAGATAGGTACTAAAGATGGTTCAAACAAAAGAACTCGCCATACAGATAGAGAATTTTATATCAGCAATCAGGCGTACTACGAAGGAAAAATAAATTTACACTGGGTGGATACTAAACATCAGTTTGCTGATATTTTTACTAAGAATCTTTCTCCTTTGTTACACGCCGATCAATGCGTGAAGGTGACAGGAGGAACTCTGGCGAGAGGGGGGGTGTTGTAGCAAGGAGTAATCATGATCTTAAGATTACCAGATTACTCCATACTACCATGTAATACCAGTAACCTAGGTATTACATAAGTCTCGCCAAGAGTTACATTCCCCTGTAGTAGTCTATATAAAGCATGTACGAAAAAGCATTTCTATCTTTCTTCTCTTCATTGAAATATACAATACTTTTTCTAGTCCATGCTCTTTTACAGTTTCTCGCGAGAACCAAGAGAGCTTCTTGCGAGAAGCTATCATGAACCCCGCTATTATGTACAGAGAGGGACTTGGATACAGAACTCATTTAATCTCTTGTGAGCAAGAAACACAGCTGTTTGATGTTGAACCAGTTTAATTTTTGGTTCTGATGGATGAACGGTCTACAATAAACAAACCCAGATTTCTCTACATTTTTTTTCATTGCAAGGACTAATTTCGGCTCCGTTTGGCCACCCCATGAGAGGTCTAACTTAACTAAGTCCCTCCCAGTGGAGGGGGGACGCCGTCCCGCAGGGATCCTCCGAAGGAGGGACTTATGCGCAAGGCCGACCTGCCTGCTCGAGAGCATTAGGAAAATCAGCGTTTTTTTTTTATTCACTTTGCTGGGTTCATCGTTTAACATCGGTGGATGAAGTTGCCCACCAAACGGAGGGGCCTTTCCAGGAGATTCGATCTCTTGACTGAATGAGCTGGTGGGGTGACCCATTGCTGGCCCACTGAGCTTTTCATGATTGCTTTGCTCAGAGGTCTTTGGGAGGTGTCTCCTGTAGTAGGTGCCTCATCCGATGTACGAGAGCTTCCACATGAATACTGTGGCTGGCCATCAATAGTAAATGGAGCATGAAACCACATATTATTGTGAATTCATCTCACTAGTGTCGAAGATCCTAGAAACTCAGGAACATACCGGAAGATACAAAGGCCATCTTCCATGACCCCAAGAGACATGAAAAGAGTGATTGGCTATCATGCTGATGAGCTGGCAACACCGGGAGGGTCTAGAAAGATAGAGACCAGCGAGGCGATCAAGAAAATCAAAAAATTTGGAAAATTCAATCATACAAAATGGAGTAGGGATGATTACGAGATTTTCCCCGCCAAATTTTCTAATGCTTTCAGGCCGCGGGGTCGCCTTTCCACGTAAGTCCCTCCCTCCGGTCGGCGCAATGCGACAAGTGGTTTACCACTCCGACAAAGGAGGGCAGGGACTTAGCTAAGTTAGATGAGAGGTTATACATTGATTTCTGAAAATTGTGCAGATTACGAACTTGTCGCAAGTCTCAGGCTGCGGGGGGGCGCATCTGGCAGCGTAGCGCTGGCCAGGCAGACTTGGGACAAAAGTCGCCTGACTCGCATGCTGAGTTTGAGGCGTTTTGGTGGGAGCGTCATAAGATTTGGAATCACGACGCTCCCTCAAAACTTTCTTGATGTTTGGTCTGGAATTTTCAAAGACCTGCCTGATCTTGTTGATCAGGCCAAAACTTAGAAGTTGCACCTCGAAACTGTAATTAATAATAAATTTCTAAAATTATGATTTGAACTTTTTTTGAGCTCAAATGCGGGCTTTGCTCAACTTGGGCCCACCAAAAGAAGCCAAGTTGAGTTGAAAAGTCAACCTTTTCAAAAACTTTTTATAAATGATTAACAAGCATAACCTAAAAACTGAACACAGGGAAATATGGGCAAGACACAGGCCTCCCCTGTCTCAGGAGGAAATTAGATGAATATGATTAAGGGAGTGCTTAGAGTGGAAACACACACAAAAAAAGTGAGTTTTCAGTCAAATTCTGAAAACTCACCACGCAGGCCTTGCGACATTGGGCATAGGCCTCCACTGGCGTGGACAGCTTCACTGCTTGCTACCGCTCCCGCCGTGGAGGACTATGTTAAGCTCGTGCAGATTATTGCAGGGAGGACAGCGATTATAAGGCACTCAAGCTCAGGGTGCAAATGGGCCGGGCTTGAGCCAAAATATTCTGCCCAAACCCAACCCGCCTTCAATGGTTGGCAGGGGCGGGCCAGGCTGCTCAGTCAAAACAGGCGCGCACACCCAACCCGCTGCCCAAGGGGGTCAGGCTCGGGCCGGGTCTTGGGCACCTGACGGGCTCCCACCAAAAAAAAGTATGGGGGCTCAAGCGGGGCGGGGGGGATGATGGTCAAGTATAAAAGCATTTATGTTGATTGACAGAGCCGTAGAATTCATATGTCTGTTGGATTGATTAATCCTGTATGTAGTACTCGCACACTTGTACTGAGTTATCCTTATAACAAGCTTCCCATTACTACTTACCGGACCTCTCTCTTCATTCCTTTCCTTATTGATTCAATACATAATATTCTCATCGTCAAGTCACCATTGTGAGTCTTGACTTCAGTGTTGTCTTCAGTCCCTGCTGCCCCTCAACAATGTCAACAGGCAGGGTAGTACACGGTGTCAGATTGGCGATGGTGGAGTTAGGGCAACAGGGCCATATCAGAGTTTGCACAGCCATGTTGGGCTGGCCCAACACTCCCCATAGGGTGCCCATGCCTGACCCGCCGCCCACGGTGGGTACCCCCGGGTCGGGCTAAAAAAAGAAAAAAAAACCAGCGACCTGCCCAAACCTGCCTTGGGCTTGGGCGCCCAGTTTCACCCTGAACTCAAGCTTAGGCAAGTTATGTTAACTTGCCTGGGTTGGCTTCCCAACAAACATTGCCAAACAACCAACATCCACCACAAGGGCAATTCAACATTGAGATGAGTTGACGGCAGCACACCAGCACAGAAGTAGGACATCTATAATGAATGATAGGCCAAAGAACCCGGGGCTCAACAATGGCAGGGGGGCTTTCATGGATTCTACAAGCAACGGTGCAACAGATATGAGACATGTATTTGTATTGGATTGTATTGTCTTTATTTTGAGCCTGATACCAGTTTCAGTATTTTCTTGCTTGGTGAGAAAATCCATTGTCCTGAATTCAGATTTACAAATGAAAAAATGTCTTTGTTTTTTTTTTCTTCAATACAGCCAAATATGTTTTTGGTGGGATCAGTCATCGGAGATGATACAGAATACTTGTCTCACTTTCCAAAGACGATACGTGTGTATTGTGTTGAAATTCTGAACTTAGCACGCAAGAGATTGAGGGCCAAAAAAGGATGGTTTCTTTTTTGGGAGAGGCTCAAGGAAAAAGAGTGTGTGAACCAAAGATTTTTATTCACTGTAGGTAGACCGACTTAAGTAGACTAAATACAAGTGATCAAATTGTGGTTGAGAGAAAAATGAATGAAGAGTTATTTTGAATAAAAATTGAGAGAAGATAAAACAAGTTCTTAAAAATAACAAACTAGATAAAACATCTCATTCTCTTGTAGTTATATTAGATGAGTTAGTAAAGAAAAAATGTTTTAAATCACAAATGACAAGGGGTGTTAATTCATGTCAACCAATTTTTTAATAACACACAACAAGTCAGAAAAAAGAGAAGCTAATACCGTAGAGACAAGAATAGTGAGTTGAGCTTATGTGGTTCAAATTTGACTTAGTATGTACTCAGAAAACAACTAAGACCTGATACTTGGTAATACTAATCAAGTCTAATCGAAGGTGATTAGAAAAGAGAAAAGATGAAGGTCAGAGAGAGAGAGAAAGAATGAGAAAAATTCAACATATTGTCTCAGAAAAGTGAGACAACACGAATCCGGTATTTTGGGTATTGGAATTATGAGACAATACAAATAAACACCTGATACCGTCTTGTATCATCTCTGTTGCACTGTTGCTACAAGATTCCACAAAGCCCGTTCATCAGAGGAATCAGCACCCTCAACGCATCCACCTCACCTTGTCAACACATCCACCTCTCTTCACAAGTTCACCCTTATCCTCTTTACTTCACCTCCTTTGCTTCTTTTCAGCCATTGCTAACTATCCCTCTCCCTTATCCACATACCTCATACCTCTATCACCAGATATAAATATTTGATCAGAATTGAGCACTTGAAGATCATAAAGCGAGTCTTAATACTCAATTTTCAGTAGTGATTGCTTGATTCCTACTGTCATCAGGACAATAATTAGTTAAAAAGTATGTTTCTTTATTCTTCTTTGACCACCTATTGCTAATGACACAATTGATTCATTGTCTTCCTTCAATCATAGGAACAATATTCATCTTACAAGTTTGTCTTTTTTTCTTTATTTTCCGTATGTTTAAGACATTCAATAATAATTTATCCTTCTCAAGTTTAAGCTACCTTGATTTTGTACATCCTGTTGAAGTATATGCTTCAATCAATTCAGTAGGAATTATCTTGTATTTATTTCTAGCACAGATTATTCTAGATGCTTCTTCTCCAGTGAATCAGAACCACACCTTTATTTCTTGCTCCTGCAGTGTCACAGACAATCCATCAGTGAACGTTAGTCATCAGTCTCCCCTAACACATGGACCAGAATATATTGTGTGCATGCATGGAAACTTCTGTTAGGGGCATGACAGTAAGTATGGAGGCTCTGGCCATCCACAAAGGCCTGAATAATGGCATTGATGGTCTGATCAAAGGCAAGGCCAAGCAGCTTGCTTGTCACTGCTGCACTGACCACCTTGACAAGTAAAACATGGTCCAAGCCAACTCAATTGAATGTGTTCTCTAGGGCCAGCTTCAAAGTACTGTTTAATGCCGTCAAACAGTCCAACTTGACTTTGTTTCAGCTTCAGATCAGTCCCCCCAGTCAGCCTTACAATGGCCAGCACCAAAGAAATTTGGCTGCAAGTACTGAAATAATTCCAGAATACAACACCACAACTCTTTTCATCAATCCTGATGAGGTTCTTAAAAAGGCGGACACTATGTGAGAACATGCTCCTCAAGAAGAAGAAATCATGTACTTTATTGACTGGTTTGGGAATCAATTCCCTAAAAAAATATTATAAAAAAAAGAAAAACCCCCAGTCAGTTTGGGAGTCAATCCTCCCAAACCCAACAGGGTTTGGGGTTCAATGAACCAAAATACCCCCACCGCAGCGGCCGGGAAGATTCCTCCCGGCCGCTTAGGTACACTCTCAACAGCTGGGAGTTTACCCCTTGTCTGCAAGAGTGTACACCTCAATGGCCAAGAGGAATCCTCTTGGCTGTTGAGGTTTCACTGTCTACCCACTGTACATGTATTGGTTTTATTCATTAAGATAAAACAATACAATTCATTTGAAACATTAACTTTCTAGTTGGAAAATGGCATAAATTTGGCTTGTAAAACACCTCACTGTGGCTTCTAGAACCTGGAAAATTGTGGGGGTTGACACATTTTAGTCTTCATTATACGGCCACCTTTACATCAATCATGAGTCCACTGTTGTCAACCTTATCTTGTAATCAGACTTTCATCACCCACATGTTGAACTACATTATATCACCATATTTTATTTTGGAGCTTGGAAAAACAACTCTTAAAAATTAGTCAATGACTCCCATTCCTGCCTGTGGACATCCAACAGGAGTCATTTTTCTAATTTGAGGGTGGAAAAAGGGAGTCATCACTCCAATTTCCCAATGAATTATTATTATTTTTTTATTAGAGATGTGGGAGTTGTCCGTCTAAAAAGACCCTTAACTTTGGAAGCTTTGGGAGTATTTGACATCTACTGCCCACACAAAGATGAAAAAGTACAACCTTTTATATCAAGCCCCAAAGCCACCATATCAATGAAAATAAATGATGACATTCATTGAAAAATATACAGAAAGAACAAACAAGGAAAAACAAGGCATAAAGTCAGGAAACCCTAAAAAGGATGAAAAAAGGAAAAACAGGGTTCAAAGTGGATAGTAAATAAAAAAACTTCATTCAAAATAACAAAAGAACTGATTGAATAAAAAACAAAAGACAGAGTAAAAGAAACAAAAGAGTCAATACTAGGTTTACTTAATGTTTTTATTCTGCCTTTTGTTTCTTTCATTCTTTTTTTTATTCAATCCTTTATTTTTTATTTTGAATGAAGGCTTTTTTATTCATCATCCTCTGTGAACCCTTTTTTCCTTTTATTGTCCCTTTTATGGTTCCCTGCCTTTATCCCTTGTTTTTTCCTCTTTCTTTCTTTCTGTATTTTTTTCAATGTCTGTATTTTTTCAATGAATAGGTATTGCCTCTTTTTTTCTTCTATTCTATTCTATTCTATTCTATTCTGTTTTTTTATTATTATTTTTTTTTTTTGAATGGAGGCTTTTTGTTTTCCTGCCTTTATCCTATGTTTTTCCTCTTTCTTTCTTTCTGATTTTTTTTTTCAATGAATGATATCATTTTTTTTTCATTGATATGGTGCCATTGGGCCTTGATATCAAAGGCTGGACTTTTTTCATCTTTGTGTGGGCAGTAGATGATGGCAACTCCCAAAGCTCCCAAAGTTTGGGGACTTTTTAGACAGACAACTCTCATATTTTTAGGGGCTTGGTTAATCGACTCTGAAATAAAGGGGCTTGAACAAATGACTCCTAAAAATTAGTTGATGACTCCCATTACCACCTGTGGAGGTCCAACGGGAGTTGTTTTCTAATTTGAGGGCGGAAAAAGGGATTTTTTGCTCAAATTTACCAATAAATTTATATTATCTTTTTAATAAAAACAGGGGCTTGGTTAATTGACTCCCAAAAGTAGGAGAGCCAACTCCCAAACCCCCAAATTCCCTGATATTTGGGAGTTGATCCCGCAAACCTGTCATTCCCTGATATTTGGGAGTTGATCCCGCAAACCTGTCAGCAGGTTTGGGAGTTGGATCAAAAAAAATGAAATCCCTGGAGGTGGAGATGCCCCAAAACCCACTTGGTTTGGGGGGTTGGCAAACCAAAAACATCCCCCAACAGCGGGGAGGATATCCTCCCGGCCATTGAGAGCACTCTTGACACTGAGCTTGAGGGCTCAGGGGAAAAGAGGGCATACCTCTTGGCCATCAAGAGTGTACACTCTCAACGGCCGAGAGAAAGCCTCTTGGTCATTGAGGGTGTACACTCTTGGCTGCTGAGAGGTACACGGCCGGAGAGTGTACCTGAGAGGTACACTCTTGGCTGTCAAGGTGTGCGCACTCAACAACTGAGAGTGTTCTCTTGGCCGTTTAGAGTGCACAACTCAACTTCCAAGGGTGAAACCCTCTTGGTCATTGAGGTGTGCACCCTCAACAACCAGGAGAACAATCTTGGACATTGAGAGTGTACACTCTCAACAACCAAGAGAAAGCCTCTTGGTTGTTGAGAGTTTACATTCTCAACGGCTGAGAGAAATCCTCTTGGTCATTGAGAGTGTACATTCTCAATGGCCAAGGGCTTTCTCTCAGTTGTTGAGAGTGTACACTCTCAATGGCAGAGAGGCTTTCTCTCGGCCATTAGGTTGTACACTCTCAACAGACAAAAGATATGCACTCTTGTCCGTTGAGAGTGTACGCCTGTAAGCTCAGCGTCAAGAGTGTGCTCTCAATGGCCAGGAGGATTCCCTCCCGGCCGCTGGGGGCTGTTTTTGGTTTGCCGACCCCCCAAACCCAGTGGGTTTTGGGGCATCAACTCTCTCCCCCTCCAGGGATTTATTTTATTTTTTATTTAAATTTTTTGTTGATCCAGCTCCCAAACCTTCTGACGGGTTTGGGGGATCAACTCCCAAATATTGGGAGATTTGGGGGTTTGGGAGTCAGCTCTCCAACTTTTGGGAGTCAATTAATTAACCAAGCCCCTATTTTTAATAAAAAGATAATAAAAATTTATTGGGAAATTTGAGCAACAACTCCCTTTTTCCACCCTCAAATCAGAAAAACAACTCCCGTTGGACATCCACGGGTGATAATGGGAGTCATCAACTAATTTTTAGGAGTCATTTGTTCAAGCCCCTTTATTTCATCTATTTAGAGATGTCCCCTCATACTTGCGCACTTGCAACAAGTACAAGTACTTGTATGAAACTTCTCAGATCTCAGAAACCCACACCCACACCCGTACTTGCGGGGGCAGGACAGAGCAAGTACTTGCAAGTGTGCAAGCTTATTTTGAGATATAAAGGTGATGAATTTTCTTGTGTTTTCATTTCAGAGATTTGTAAACTAAGTGATTGTAAACAGTGATAATAAATCTTAACTCTTGCCCTTCATTTTCTTCCAGATTTCTCCCTTGCTGCTTTCCTGTCATTCTTCTCCTTCCATTTTCTCAAAAGCCCCCTCTTGATCCTACCATTTTTTGAGCAAAATGCCACCCTTGTGACTCATCCCCCTAGTGACAGACTGTGCACTGACTAGCTTGTGCATCCTGAGAGAAGCATATTCCCTACCAAAGCTAAAGGATCGCTCCACATCAACAGTGGTTGCTTCAGAATGTGTGGGAAAGTTGGTAAAAAATCAACCAACATAGTATTAATAATTTTGATGAAAAATACACCTGCACAACTAAGCACATCAAGTGCCATCTGAAGTAAAGGTGCCCAGGTGCACACCTGCAACAAGTACAAGTACTTGCGTGAAAATTTTCAGATCTCAGACACCTGAACCTGCACCCACACCTGTAGACAAGTACTTGATGGAAGGCAACAAGTACTTGCCAAGAAGTAGCAAGTACTTGGTGCCATCTCTACATCTATTGATTTATTTTTGGAAGGGCATTCAGCTTCCACTATTGCTTGCATCAAACAGCTTGTGATCCAATTGTTTCAAGAATCTCAATTATCATCAGAAGTTCTGATCAGAGAGAAAGAAACAATGTCATCAAATCAAGTTCACTCATCATGTAGCAACCCACACTTGACCTCAACTTCATTTAATGGACTACTCAACAATATAACCATATTCCCTCCTCCATTGTATGCAGAGGTAGCTGAATTGGACAAGACAAAGGGCTGGAGGAAATCAAAAAACTAAAAGAGCCTATTCCAACCTGAACATATCACAGCCAACATTTCATCAAATGTCCCCTTTTTCTAACATGAAGTAAAGCAAAAAGTAACCTACTCTAACTTGGAACAAAGAGAAAAAAAAAAGGAAAGGTAGCCCAAAAAATACAATCAAATCAGAACACTTTTCTAACCTTCTCCATCTACCTTTGATGGTAAAAGTGGTTCATCATTTTCTCAACAGCCAAATGCTTGATATTCAATACGGGATGTACTGGCAACTAATTTGCCCATAAAAAATGAAGAAAAAGAAAAACAAGAAATTAATCTTCAGTAGAATGAGGAGTACTGATAACCAAAAGACAAGACTGACAACTTCATTTGAGACCATACCAACTACCAAGTCCTTATCCTTTTGTACTTCCCATGCTAATGCCCTTGAGTAAATAATTTTCATTCTTTCAAGCGCATCACTTTCAGTTTCGGAATTCCCAAGGATACAGGTCGAAAAATCCGGTTTCTTGAAAGCTTGTTTGAGTTCTTCTATTCGCTGAAGGGAATGTTTCTGAGAATGTTGCGCGAGGGAGAGGCCGGCTAGAATGTAGTGAGTATGGTACATGTCCGGAACCGCGCTCGGTTTATCACGCAGACCACCTTGTTTGGCTTTGGGAGATAGGTCTTGCGATATCAAAAGAATATACTCTTGTAAGGCGTGTCGATCAAACAGATCAAACGACTCATGTTGGTCTACAGAAAACAAAAAAATCATGCAAATGAGAATCATGTAATGGTATGAGCGATTGAGAGGGACAAACCAGAGAAGTCTTCGGACATGAGGGCTTGAAGAAGCGGGAATGCACCGGCGCACCACCAGCTATAACAGCCGTCGACGAGTTTGTTAGTGCGACCTCGGAAGCCACCTCCTTCGATGGGAAGTCCTTGCATCTGTGCCGCCCAGCGCAGACACGAATCATAGTCTAACCTGGGGCTACCTGAGAGACTGGGCAATCCTTGAAGGAGAAAGTCACAGGCTAGAGCGCAGGAGTTGTAACCACCATGAGCTTCTCCTATCGGAGCCGCGCTCGGAAAGTCGAGTTGATTGCCTTGAGGTCGCACACAACCATTCGAGAGAGAAGTGGCGCATAGCCCGCCTTCGTACGTTTGACAACTGTATATTTTTACACAAAGTTCGTCAAACTTCGTTCAGCGGAATTGAAACGTAAGCATATCAATTCACCTGACAATATATTCGGGAAGGTTTCGGACAAGTTCAGGGGTGAGTAGATTGAGAAGTGTTGCCACAGTCAAGGCGCCGAAGCAACTCCTAAAGGGAAAAATTTATATGTATCGTCAGTAAAGGTATCAATGCAATCTCGCCGTTTTTTTTTGTTTGTTTGTTTGGCGCGTTAATGACTTTCAGTGAATTTTAACCTTCCACTTTTTGGGCGATAAAAATTAGTTGAAGCTCTTACCGAACATCAATCTCACCGCCGTGATGCATTCTAAAGCTGCCATCAGGCATCTTGAGGCTGAGCATCCATTGGAGCATTTTCTGTCGATCGATTTGGGAGCAGGTTTTGTCAACAATATTTTGGTCTGCGCCGTCGAGTAAGATGGCAAGGGCGGCGATGGAGGCGTATGTGGAAGCAAGGTGAGCCAGTTGACCTGGTCCGCCCCCGAAGCCTCCCTGTGGATGTTGACATGACATGATTGTTTCGATTGCCTTCAGTCGTTCAACCTGTTTTAGTCTGGCCTCTAACACCGAGAAAGCTCCGACGATCCTGTAAAACACCCCCAAACACTTGAGTAACATGCAGACATAACAGATAATATTATCTTTTAAGGAAGACAGCAGTGATGGCACACCAATAAATTATCCAGCCACGACTAGAATCTAATGCCGTATTCCGGATCGGAAGCTTAGAAAAGGACGGGTAGAGGAAGGAGATATGGCTGGACCTAGTCAGGAGGACACTGGGCAGAAAAGTATAAGAATTAATGCCAAGGTCAGTTGAGGATTCAGGATCGCAGGATATGTGGGATCGACTTACGAGTCAACAGATTGGGAACCTGAGGGATTTCCATCATCCTTCGAATCGAGCCATGAGAGCAGAATTGTGGAGATGTCGATCTCGGTCGAAACTTGGGAGCTTGTGGTGTCCGTGCGGAGATCATCGAAGGGCGTCGGCGCCAGAGGGTGACGGGGCATTGGGGAGAGAGGTCTGCCAGTGGAGAAGAAGGTCAACTTGATTAAAAGGTCATGAAATACAGAGATGTAGCTGGCATATCACAGACCAAGTCAATCGGCAACTGCTTGAGAAATCCGATACCGTCTGCAGTACTGTAATAGTAAATCGACAATTAGTTATACCGTGTTTTGAACCACTGGATGTTGAGCTTGGATGCTAGGAAGACAGAAGCTGGCTGACCGACGAGTGGAGGCAAGTTGAGAGTCGGGCTCAAGCAAAGCCTATATCAGTAGCATGTGCGTAGCTTGTTAAGTGGGATGGGCTATTGAAAGAATCAACTAGGACTGGTTATCATCGTCAAAGGGCTTCCTCACAAAAAGGATATACCGGCCCATATAGAGCTTCTCGACTAATCTTGTGACCATTGAAAGTTTAACTAGTCTTCTCGCCATATCCAGTTGGTAAACAAAGGAGATCTATTCAAGCAGGGGAATCCTCTGGTAAGGATATGAATGGCTTGATCAGTTTGAATTGATCATTATAAGCATTCAATTCGAAAACATAAACTGAAGAACTCCCTCATGGCCGTCCGACTGATTAAAGACCATCGACCACCTCACCTGTTTCTTTGGCGCTGTGAATAATTTACCCAACTAAAATACAGGCCTGTTCAAGCTAGATAAAAATAAAATCAAGAACCAGTGAAGATACATACATAGCAGGATGTCTTAAGGAACCATCATGCCCTATTCTGAAAGGTGCTGGCTGGTACACAAAGGATGTTAAGATGACATTTGAGACTCAAAAACTTGTAACAGCTGACCATAGCTTGCAGCACATGAGCTCCTAATCAATAGAGCAAGTTTTAAATATGCTTCAACTTCTTGGAATCAACCTCATTTCATAACACAGAGAGCCTAACTGAGGGCGGCAAAGTTAAGTAGGTGTCTTCAATCCAAAGGCCAGAATATGGTAATTGATCATATATATCTCTCCCTCTTCACAAGAAAAAAAAATGAAAAAAATCATGCTTCATTTTTTTGGAAGCTTGAGGTATCCAAATTTTTGGGTAAGAAAGTTTAATTAACGGAGGACTTCCCGTCGGATCTGCGACCCTCGCAGATGTCGATTTAGACCCAAAAAGTCTAGAATTTCGCTGGGAAATCTAGCTTTCAAGGCCTCTAAATCACTTCTGGGAGACCCGCAGATTTGACGGGAAGTCGTCCAACATTCTTGCTATCTGTTCAAAATTATTGGAGCCCATGGAAATGGATGTATGCTTTTGGAATGAATTTTTCAGATGAGTCAAAACACGTAGAACAGATAATTTTTACATTATTCTCTTGTCAACTTGCCAGTTGAAATTTACTCCAACTTGACCAAGCCTCTTCCCAGACAGCAGATTGTACCTGCTTCTGTTGGAATTGAGACATGATGTGTAAGCTGGGAAATTGAGGCTTTGTTAAGCTAGCATAAGCTTTGACAGGGGGACTTTCATGAGAAAGTTTTTCAACAAGAGAGTAAGCTGTTGGAAAAGCTCAAAGGAGTAAAAAAATGAGGGAAAACCTATTGCTTTCAGCAGCTCAGGTCAAGTAGACTACATACAAAGAAGTCAACAATTGGTTAGGAGTAAGAGAAAATCAGATTTGTACTAGAGAGTTACTACATAGCTATAGGAGCTTCTGCAGTAACAAGGATTTAACCATGAATAGAATGATTGAAAGGAATATTGTCTCAAGTGATACTCCCAAGTTGTTGAGAGAACAAAAAAAAGACAACAGAAAGACAACAGAAAGAAGACTTTCTTCTGAAACATGTGAAAGAAAGAAGATATCTCATATTTGAAGCAATAACCAGAAGATAAACAACAAAAGACTTGAATCTTTTGGCCAGTCATACCTCTAAAATTCAAATGTCTTGTGGCCTGAGGGAAGGATCAAGGAATGCAAGACACATTTCATCTCTCCCTACTGATTCTTTCTAATTTGCCTAATTTTGATCATAGAAATAATCCATCAAATTTTGAATAGCCTCTTGTTTAATATTGAAAATTGGATGTACAGGTTCCTATCTCCGAAGGAATACGAATGTAATCCTTAGTCAGCATTTTATAATCCAAGCCTATGAGATATGAGAGGAATTGATAAAGGTGACTCACAACTTCATTTGAGACCAGGCCAACCACCAATTCCTTATCTTTTTGGACTTCCCATCCTAACACTCTAGAGTATATCTCTTTCATTCTTTGAAATGCGTCGCTTTCGCTTTCTGAATCCCCAAGAATACATTTTGAATAATGGGGCCTCTTGAAGTTTTGTTTGAGCTCTTGAATTCTTTGGAAAGAATGTTTTTGGGGGTGTTGCATTATCGAGAGAGCACCTAGAATGTAGTAGGTGTGGTATAAATCTGGCGGAGTGCATGGTTTATCACGCAGCCCCCCTTTCTTGGCATTTGGCGTAAGGTCTTGCGATATAAGAAGGATGTACTCTTGTAATGCTTGCCGATCCAATAGATCAGAGCATCCCTGCTGGTCTGAAATTTATCATAAAAAATGAGAACGATTTGGCACAGGATTATAAAAGCTTTTTGGAGACAAACCTGTAGAAAGGTCGGTGGACATGAGGGCTTGGAGAAGCGTAAGTGCACTTCCACACCACCACCCATAGCAACCATCAACCAGCTTATTGGTGCGTCCTCGGAAGCCGCCACCTTCGATGGGAAGGCCTTGCATGTGTGCTGCCCAGCGCAGGCACGAATCATAGTCCAACCTAGGACTACCTGAGAGACTGGGTAATCCTTGAAGGAGAAAGTCACAGGTCAGAGCACACATGCTGTAGCCACCATGAGCCTCGCCTGTGGGGGCTGCGTTGGGATATTCAGGTTGGGTGCCTTCAGGTTTTGCCATACTATTAAAGAAAGAATCGGCACAGATCCCACCTTCGTAGGTTTGGCAACTTCAAAGGAAAAATTAATCCATGCCGTTGACCTCGTTCAGCTCCAGAGCTGCAGCACATGATCACAAAATTTACAAAAATCACCTCACAAGGTATTCTGGGAGGTTTTTGACCAGTTCCGGTGTAAGTAGGTTGAGAACTGTTGCCACACTCAAGGCAGTAGCGCAGCCCCTAAACAAAGCAGTTGATGCCCATCGTCAGTGAAAGTGTCATGAGGGCATTCCAAGCCATGATTCTGCTTCGACGGGCTCTTCACTCTCGCTTGATCGCCATTTATTCTTTTCCGTGGTCAAATTATTTGAAACTCTCACCGAACATCAATATCACCATCCTGATGCATTGCGAAACTCCCATTAGGCGTCTTGAGACTTAGCATCCATTCGTACATTTTTTTCCGATCGATCCGGGCGCACGTTTCATTGATAAGGCTTTGATCTGCACCATCAAGCAAAATGGCAAGAGCCGCGATGCAGGCG